ACGAGGTCAGGAGATCAAGACCATCCTGGTTAACACGGTGAAACCCCGTCTCTACTAAAAATACAAAAATTAGCCGGATGCAATGGCGGGCGGCTGTAGTCCCAGCTACTCGGGAGGCTGAGGCAGGCGAATGGCGTGAACCCGGGAGGCGGAGCTTGCAGTGAGCCGAGATCGCGCCACTGCACTCCAGCCTGGGCGACAGAGCGAGACTCCATCTCAAAAAAAAGGAAAAAAAAAAAAGAAACGCATAACAGAGACATTTGAACACTGGGATGGCTTCCTAGTGTTTTCTTCTCAAGTCACATATCTGGGGGAAGTTCTGGCCAACGCCATCTCTTCTACCCCTTACACTTCCAGAGGTGCCTCGCTTCCCAGAGTGGTGTTTATGTCTGGGTTTTATCAGGGTCCTGTCCACGTCCCTGTCTGGCCCCTCCCTTGATCTGGTTCTGCCGGCATGGAGGTTAGAGTCCATCAGATGGCAGGTGATGGCAGGTGAAGAGAGGAGATAGCATTGGACAGGGCAAACGCTTCAGGCAAATGGCCCTGGGCTGAGCATGCTGAGGCCTACCTCTCCTCCCCAGGCCTTTAGCCCTCCGTGTCCCTCCATTCTGGAAAGCGCCGTGTATGTAAGTCCCACTCTCAGAACTCAATGTGCTTTCACATGAGTGCACAAGTGCGCAAACACTTTAGAAGCTTGTGGAGATGTGACTGGAGAAATGCTCAGCAAACCTTGATGGCCTTGAAGGTGTTGAGGGGCAGATCTGGTGCACCAGTGTGAAGGAAGAAGAGGTGGGTCTGCCTGAGGTGGGCAGCACTGGCAGCCAGACCAGTGTGCATCTGGCGTCTGGAGCCCAGGAGCCCACCACAGTCCCGCAGCCTCCACTGAGTCAACTGCTGGATAACACTCACCTCTCCAACTTTGCCTCTTTTCTTTCCTATAAAATTAGGATATTAACTTTAGAAATTAAGATGCAGATGGTTTAAAAATATACAAATTTTGGCGTGGGTATGTAATAATTATACTCCCTTGTACCTGAAATGTCCCTAAAATGAAAGAGATCCCCTCCCACTTCTCCCAATTATTGCTAAGGCTCGTGGCTATAGGTGAGTGAGTCTGAAGGGCTAGAGCCTACGTAGCAGAAAGTAATGAAGGACCAGAGTAACCGCGAGGGAAGGAAGTGAACACGTGGACACATGGGGTCTGTGGGCTGGAGCGTTTCTGTTCAGCTCTACGAACTGGTCCTTAAGGTGGATGTTTAGATTTCCAAATGATTTGTTGCCATTTCTTTCCATTCAATGATTTTTTTTTTTTTTTTTCCTGGAGAAAAAGATAGTTCTTTCTGGGAAATGCCTCATGCACACACTTACAGGCAAACACACGCACACACATGTTCACACATGCTCACACACATGCACACAAACACATACACACACTACAGAAAATTTAAAGCAATGGTTCCTGTAGCTGCTACAACCTTCACATTTACAACCAGCTCACACGTGTGTTATCATTGATGAGGAGCAAATACTCTGCTTACTCACGTCCCTGTGCGAGTGTGCAATGTGTGTGCTTTATTTATAACTGCTGGGGGAATTCCCGATTTGTTATTTGTAGGCATGTATGATTCTAGTGCAACACTAAAGTGATGTAATTTTCTTTGCTTAATTTCCCCAGTGTGCTTGTAATTATTGATTTACCAAATGAAAGAATTCTCATTTCAGCAGGCAGTCATTACTTCAGCCACTCCCGTCTTGGCTCTCTACCTAGATGGAGGAACCTGCCAAGCTTTGTGCTATCCTGCGTAGCATCAAAGGCCCATTGAACTTCTTGGGGCCATGTTACTTCCCTCCCAGGCACTGTCCCTAGGAGGAGCAGTGTTTGCTTAGGGCCTACGGGCTGATGATGGCATATATAGCACATTATCTATTTGTTTACTTTCTGCAGTATTTTCATTAATCTTCAATTTCTACTAAAGCTGTACACTACCTTACGCTGTCCATGCCGGCGTTTAAAATAAGCTAGTGTGATCCCTAGGCACGAGGTGAGCCCCTTGCTGCTGCGCCACACCGTAATCAGTGTTCCTTCATGCCAGCAGTTCTTAAACTCTAGTCCCTGGTCAAACCGCTTCAGCTACATCCGGGGATGACATGCAAATTGTCACGTCCAGCTCAGACTTACTGAGTTTGGGACTCAGTGATCTGTGTTTGAACAGGCAGCCCTGAGCAGCTCCCACCGTGTTGGTTCTGAACCTGGGTGGGGAGCCTGAAGAACTCTGGTGTAAGATGCTCAACTGCGAAGGCCCGCAAACCTCCCTGGGCTCCTTCTTTCCTCCCAGGCAGGGTTCTGATACTTGCTCAAGTCTGAGAGGGGCTGCCCTGGGAGCACCTTCCTCTTAGTGAATGTCACTTCTTCTCTGCTTACTTCTTTCTCTCTTTCTTTCTTTTCATCCAGCCAGCTGTTTCAGCCCTCTAGCACCTCTGGGCAGCCTGCCCTGTGACCCATACATGGAATTCCCTGAGGCCACGCCCAGCCTGTTCCACAAGAATGTCCCAGTTTGACTTTTATGTTCCACTGCACTTTGTGATTTATTTCATGGGGGCAACCTTGCCTGTCCCAGAGAACGTAGGCAGGCCTTGTGACCTTTCCACCCACTCTTGCCTTGGCTTGGCAATTGGGATGTCCTTTCTGAGACAAGAATAAACTCCAGGACCTGGACGTGGGGTCAGACCCTCTGCCCACTGCAGCTGGGCACACTGAGGGGAGGCAGTGGGAGTGGAAAAGGCACCATCAGCCTCTCTTTTTTGTACAACCCATGTTTCACCAGTGGCCAAAGCTGTCTCCTACAGGCGGGCAGCACAGGGGGCTCCCAGGGAGTTACACTTGAGATAGAGGGATCTTAATCTGTCTTTGCATCCTCCAGGCCTGGCAGGTGCTTAAAGTGCTGCCACTAACTACTTGCGACCCTGGGTGAGTTACTTAACCCTTAGGTCCTTTCTTCTGTGAGCTCCATGGAAACCTCTGGAAGGGGGCTCAGAGGCCCCTGCTTGGAGTCCCTTGGAGGCCACCACACACCCAGGCCTGGTTCTCCTGCTGTTCACCTCACGTGGCCTGGGATTTTCAGGGCCCATGACCTGCTCCGGCAGGTTCTTCTAGGCAGAACTGACAAAATGCCTGACCACTACTTAAACTTTGAATTCTGCTCCAAGTCTCGAAAATCATGCCCTCAGGACCCAGCATCCCCTCTGCTGGTTGAACGTGGGGCATTTCCTCCCAAGCGTAGCAGGAGCTTGCCTTTCTCCCAACCCTGCTACTGCTTTAACACGGCTCTCTCGTCTCATCCAGGCTTCCCTGGGTGGGAGTCAGACTCCCCTCCAGGGTCTTCCCCAAGCCTCTCATGCTCATGCTTCCCCTGGCTGAAGCCCCTCAGGAGACAGGAGTGAAAGAGACAGGGCCCACCTCTCCCCCAAGCTCTCTCCAAAACCCTTCCCCTAAAATCTTCTTTTCTCCAGTGCTCCTCCCTTGCTGAAGTAGAGGGGCTCAGGACTTGTCAAACTGGCTGGCTCTGAGCCATCTCTTTTGAAGATCTGAATTTGTAATTTTGTTTCTATTGTGTCTTGGTGCTTAGGTTTTAACCTCCTGTCATAGCAGTCTGAGATTTGCAGATTGCCTTTTCCATGATGACACCTGTAAGTTTACCTATGGGCAGGCTGTATTTTCCAAAGACAGCTACATCCTCATCACACCTGCTCTTCTGCAAGGTGACCTTGCCATTCCCCCAATGCTGAGCAGTATCTATGTTTCCTGTGCTCAAATCCAGGCAGGCAAGAGAATCCCTGTGATTTTTGAGGTTAGGTCATGAAAGGTGATACAGCCTCCACCTGGTTCTCTTGAAGCTCCGATTGACGTGTAAGAAATCCAAGGCTGCCATGTTGTGAGGAAGCCCAAGCCACATGGAGAAACCACATGTGCTCGAGATTCCTGACCCTAGCCATGGAGTCACCCCCAGCTTTCTGGTTCTTCCAGTTGAAGCCCCCAAAATGATTGACAGAGTCACCTTAATCATGTTCTTTCTAAAGTGCCCACAGAATCCATGAGTATGGTAAAAATAAATTTCAAAGACACTAAGTTTTGTGAGACTTTCTTACACTGATATAGAGAATTGACATACTTATCATCTGTATGGCAATGTCCCTGACTGTCCCTTTTGAGCTCAGATTCCTCAGAGGTCTGGGGCCTAGGTCCATGGGGATCCACCTCAAGGTTTCTAAGTTTTAACAATTCCACTTTTTTTCTTTTATTTCCCTAGCCCTAGGAGTGGTAGCTGCTTTTTGCAAATGCAATATTTGTGGTACTTCAGAGTTCTTTTATTGCCATTTCAGTCACCTAGTTAATAATGTTTTACTTATTTGCCAGTTCTTTGTATGAAATTCTATTTAAGTAGCTGTTACAGTTTCTGTTTCCTGACTGGACTTTGACTGATATTAAAAATAGATACCATTTGTTATTCTGGGTAAAGACTATCAGTATTATTAATTTCATTAATTAAAAAAACTCAGACATTAGAGAAGTTGTAAATACAATGCAAATACATTATTTTATTTTCCTAAACCATCTAAGAGTATTTTGCTCATTTGATGCCCCCATGACAGCTGAACCCTTCAGTATGTATTTCCTACAAACAAAGACATTTTCCTGCATAATCACAATACATCCATCAGAATCAGGAAATTAATATTGATTTCCTACAAGCTTATAATCCACAGACCCATTCACATTTCATCAGTTGTGCAAATAATGTCTCATAGCAAAAGAATCCAAGCCAGGGCATGTGTCACATGACTCATAGCTTTGGTTAATCTGGAACAATTCCCCTTTCCTTGTCTTTCTTTGATTTTCATGACCTTGACACTTCTGAAGATTACACACAAGTTATTTTCAGAATGTCCTTCAGTTTGGATTTGCCTGATTTTTTTTTTTTTTTTTTGGTAATCTGATTCAGGTTCTGCATTTTGGGCAAGAATACCACAGAAGTGATGCCATGTCCTCATAAGGCACTAGCAGGTGCCACCTGAGCTTGATTTGCCCCGTTACTTACAATGTTCACTTTGATCTCTTGATTAAGCTGGTGTCTGCCAGCCTCCTTCACTATCAAGGTACTCTTTTTTATTTTGTAATTAATAAGCATCTGGGGGGGATCTACTTTGGAACTATGGAAATCTCCTCAATTTCTAATTTATTTACTTATTTATTTCTATCACTATGGACTTGTGCTTTCCTCTTTTACTCAATGGGGTATAATCTGTTATTTTCAGCATGTATTTTGACGACCAAATTGTTTCAGATTTGATCAATGGGAGCCCCTTTAAGCTGGCCTCTGTGGCCTTTTGTTAAGTTTTCAGTATGCTGTGATTGCTTTATTCTTTCCTTATAGCACAAGACATTCCAGGCTCTTCTTACTCTTTCCCTGCCCTAGCACTAGAATCAGCCATCTCTCGAAGGAGCCAAGTCTTCTTTTAGTGGAGAATGGTATTTATTTATTTATTTATTTATTTTTATTTATTTCTTTTTTGAGACGGAGTCTTGTTCTGTCGCCCAGGCTGGAGTGCAGTGGCTAGATCTCAGCTCACTGCAAGCTCTGCCTCCCAGGTTTACGCCATTCTCCTGCCTCAGCCTCCCGAGTAGCTGGGACTACAGGTGCCCACCACCTCGCCCAGCTAGTTTTTTGTATTTTTTAGTAGAGATGGAGTTTCACCGTGTTAGCCAGGATGGTCTCGATTTCCTGACCTCGTGATCCGCCCGTCTCGGCCTCCCAAAGTGCTGGGATTACAGGTGTGAGCCACCGCGCCCGGCCGAGAATGGTATTTAAATACCAAGATCTGGCTTCTAGATGTGCTCATGGCTTTTAAGGTATTGCCCCTTCCAGACTCTTTCAGTGAAGAGAGAGCTCAGGAATATTTGTATACAAGCATTTACATGTCTGTACCCTACTCTGTGTGTGTATGTATGTATCTATCAACCTACTTATATATTGAAAAGCATAGATTTGTCCTAATGTCTCCATTTCCAATGCAAAACTGGAAGGTTCATTCTAATTTTCTTTTTCTGTGTATTGATTTCCTTCTCTGACCGTGGGAAACTTGGCTTTCATTATCTTGAATACATTTGTTTGGTCAATTCCACCATATGTAACCAATCTCCCATCGCCACTGCAACCTCTGTGCCGTGTGGACATGCTTTCCACTCCACAAAACTCACCTACCGTATTCGTTTGCTAGGGCTGCCATTACAAAGTGCCACCGACTGGGTGACTAAAATAACAGAAAATAATTTTGTCACAGTTCTGGAGGCCAGAAGTCTGAGATCAAGATGTTGGCAGGATTGTTTTTTTTCCTGAAGCCTTTCTCCTTGTCATGTAGATATCATGAGAAGACATAGAGAAAAGATGCTAGTATGGTTTAAATCTAACCCTCCAAAATTCAGGTGTTGCCAATGTGAAAGTATTAAGAGATGGGACCTTTAAGAAGAGATTAGGTCATGATGTCTCCTCCCTTGTGATTTGGCTTAATGGCCTCATACAAGAGGCTTCAAGCAGTGCTAAGCTTGCTTGCCCTTCTGCCTTCAGCCACATAAGGACAAACGTTCCTCCCTTCTGGAGGATGCAGTGTCCAAGGTGTCACCTTGAAAGCAAAGAGTGGACCCTCTCCAGACACTAAACCTGCTAGCGCTGTGACCTTGGACCTCCCAGCCTCCAGAACTGTGACAAAATAAATTTCTGTTCTTTATAAATTACCCAGTTGGTGGTATTCTATTACAGCAACACAAAATGAACTAAGACACATGGTCTTCTTCCTGTGTGTGTATGGGTACTAATGTCCTCTTCTTATAAAGATACTGGAATATGGCCACCCCAATGACATTATTTTAATTACCTGTTTAAATACCCTACTTTCAAATATAGACCCATTTGAAAGTATCAGGGGTTATGATGTCAACATAGGAATTTGGGAGGACAAAATTCAGCCCATAATACCCACCGTTTCTCACAGGTGAAAGTAACTGTGTTAGTTAACTACGGAGGCAATATCATCCCAGTACACCACTCTCTCCCCCATCTTGTAGCTGTCACTTACCTTTGGGCTACTCCCCTACATTTACTGGGAACATTTCCTTTGTCTCCCTCATGAGTCCAACTCATGTTACCTTTTATCTAGATGAGCTAACTGCTATCTTAGTAGGAATTCTGTGGCACGTTAACGTTGACTACAAATTCTTTGACATCCTTTCCATATGAGAGTGGGATCTTTTTTTCCTCTCCTCGAATCTGGATTGTCCCATAACTGTTTTGATGAATCAAGTATGGAGGAAATGATGTTATGCAATTCTAGGTTTAGTCTTTAAAGCTTTTGTTTTGGTCTCTGAAAGTGCTGAGCTACCATGTCTGACTAGTTTACAAGAGCATGTGCATGGAGATTCTGAGAATATATGGCATGGAAGAGGAGCCCAGCTGAGCCTAGCTGGCTCAAACAAGGCACCAGGTGTGTGAGAGAAGCAGTCTTGAGCTCCCTCAGCCAGACCAGCCACTAGTTGAATATAAACAAGTGGCTGACACATAGACCAGAGGAATTGCCCAGTTTAATCATTCTGGAATTCTTGACCCACAAAATTGCAAAATGTAATCAAATGGTTGTCATTTGAAGCCACTAAATTTTTAAGTAGAGCAATGTCCTTATCTTTACTGGCCTTCGCGTCAATCTCAACTCTCATTCCACAGCTTTGATCCTGTCATTTCCTTTACTGCTTCAACGATGAACTCTCCATAGGCTGCAAGCACCTTTCTATCTGCTCTTCCTCTTCCTTACTCTCACCATGCCAGAATTTAATATTCAGCAAACCTCATCAGTCTCAACTCCTGAAGTTTTCTCCAATCTGTCAGCTGACTCTTGGCTTTGATTTAGTTCTTTTCTATCCTGTTCAAGCCCACATAATCTATCATATCAATACTCTCTATCATGTTAAACTTCCGTGATCAATTTCTGCTCCCAGCCTGCAAATTCGTATCTCTGGATTAGTCTACTTCCTCACTTCTTTCACTTCCATACATGGGAAGCTGGAAGTTACTTGAGTATTTGTTCTTTGGTTTTCTGCATCAGTTCCCTACAATGGCATTTAAAAGATAAGACAGCACTGTCTTGTTAAATAGGAATAAAGTTTATCGGGTAATTGAAAGGAAACAAAGAGAACTCTAAGTATTATGGAAGTAACAACTGCGGGAAGCAGCTACCACCCTTAGAACTTGAAAAACAAAGGAAAGAAGTTGCACTTCTTAAAACTTAAAATCTCAGAGGAGGGGGCCGCTTGAGTCTGGGGCCTAGACCTCTGAGGAGAGGTGTCTGCTGAGCTTATCGTTTAAATGCCATTGTAGGGACATAATGCAGAAAACCAAAGAACAAATGCTGGCATTTCAAAGTGTGTGTGTGTGCGTGTGTGTGTGTGTGTGCATGTGTGTGTGTGTGTGCATGTGTGCACGCACGTGTTTCTGTGTTTTATGGGGAAGTGAGACTGGTTTGGGGAATATTGGGAGAACGTTTGGGAGCAAACTACTTATGGTGGAACGAATTACAGTCAGGATGAAAAAGTAAAACATTTTTTTCTTTCTCCTCCAGGCTTCAGTCATCCCTTTAGTGCCTTCTACTGATAGAGCATGAATGTGTTTGCAGAGCTCCTGCCCCAGCCTCATATACTGAAGGTAAAAGGATGGGCTTGAAGCTGGGAGACAGTAGCCTAACAGATAGTATAGTAAGTTTAAAGTAAAATGCTTGTAGACAAATTTTGGTTTTGAACCCAAGATGGATAATTCTAAAATTGTTCTGAATCATGTTAGATGAATTTAACCTGTTGATAATTGTTACGATAACTCATATGTGTTATCTATTTCTTCAGTCTTATTTTGCGTATTCTGTTTATGTTGCTTTATTTTAAAATATCATTTTCTTTCATATGCTTTTGATATGTTTCCTTTTAAAAAATATATTATTCACCGGGCGTGGTGGCTCAAACCTGTAATCCCAGCACTTTGGAAGGCCGAGATGGGTGGATCACGAGGTCAGGAGATCGAGACCATCCTGGCTAACACAGTGAAACCCCGTCTCTACTAAAAAATACAAAAAATTAGCTGGGCGCTGTGGCGGGCGCCTGTAGTCCCAGCTACTCGGGAGGCTGAGGCAGGAGAATGGCGGGAACCCGAGAGGCGGAGCTTGCAGTGAGCCAAGATCACAGCCACTGCACTCCAGACTAGGGTGACAGAGGGAGACTCCGTCTCATAAAAAAAAAAAAAAAAAAAAAAAAAGTGTATTATTCAGTGACTTGTAAATTAGATAGTTAATTCTGTTATACTGTGTTACCTAATTAAAATAACAACGATAACTACTTATTTGAAACTATATTTCTTTTCAATGGCAGTAATAAAATTGGATAGGATACTACTTCCCACCAAAGAACAGAGGGCTCTGTTTTAAAGAAATTATGCTAAAACATAACTGGAAATAATATATATTCCAGTCTGGGAGTCTGTGTCCCATGCCTTTCTCATTTTGACTCTTGGTGAGCCCAGTGTCAGTGCCAGTTCCTTTTCTGCTTACCCAAAGCAAAACCTGCCAGTCTGTCTGCCCGGTCATGCCCCGCCCTGCCCAGAGCATCCAGCAAGAATTCCCACTCAGTGGTGAGACTGGTGGAAAACAGACTACTGTTCTCAACAGCAGAGGAAACCACACCAGCCACCCTGGTCTTCTGATTTAACTGGAACTGAGCAACTGAAGACCAACTGGCACAGAAGGAGAAACTTCTGTGATCAATCCTTTTTCTGTTGCTTCTCTTGGTTTTATGCCTTTTATGTGCCTTGATATAAAAGGCATAAAATCAAGATAAACAACAAACAGAAAAACTGACAGCAAAGAAGAAGAGACTCAGAAGACATTAAAAATCCCCTTAATTAATAAATTTAAAGAGATTTTGGAAATATATCTAGATAACAAGTACGAGATGTTACGAAAATGTGACACAAAACCGAGACCTTTAATAAAATAAAATCAGGATTTAAAAAAAATTTCAATGGAAGGCCTGGAAAATCCAATGAGCTCCTTAGAGTCAGGGCAAA